TTTCACCTTTTTATTTGTACCTGAAAGAAAAACACACAAATACCTTCCATTGAAGCGCAATATCTCAAAAATAGGTATAAAATGCGTCTAAAAACACTATATATTTTAGGTGTATCAGGTTTCCATTATTCAAGGGACCCTTGGTCCATGGCTCAAAAGTGGGTTTAGACTAGGATTGAGGTGGCGAGATTACAAGCTTAGGATGGACTGGGTTAAATAGATCAAAGGTTAAAAAAAACTTGGTTTTGGGCTTAAAATGGGGCTTGAGCTTGACTATGGACTTTGGGCTTGGATCTAGACCAACTAATGGTTTAATTTGGCTTAAGGGAATGTAATGAAGGATTTGGGAATCAAATAATGTGGAATTGGAATGATTACTTGGCTTAATTTGGTGGAATTTGGAAGTGGGACTAATTTGGGGCATTTTATTTCGGCTTGAAATTTGGTCTAATTGGGCTGGGATTTGGTTCTAATTGGGCTTGAACATGATGAATTTTGGTGTGGATTTGAAATTAGTGGAGTTTGAAATGAATTAGAAAGGAATTGGAGGTGATTTGGGGATTTTGGGCAATTTGGGGATTTTGGTCAATATTGGTGGATTTGGATACAATTGAGTGATTATGATTGACTTTGTAGATGTTTGGAGTGAATTTGGAGGTTTTAGGAATTTTTTGAACATGAGGGGCATTTTGGTAATTTTGGGTGGTATAAGGGTATTTTGGGGGGTGGTATAAGGGTATTTTGGGAATTTTGGGGAAATTGGGGTACTTTGGGCAATTTTGAGTAGTTTAAAGTTGTTCAATATGGTTTTTAGTGAGAATTTTGGAATTTGGGCAATTTTGGAATTTTTAGGGTTTCGAGTGCATTTTGGTAATTTTGGGAAAATTTGGGGTTAAAGGGCCAAAGTTGGTTATTTTGGTGGAATTGAAGCTCATTGAATATGATGATCATGAAATCACCCTTCTTGTGCCTTAAGACCAATGGGAGAGCCCATTTTAGATCCTCCATATGTTGGTCCTAGCAACCTTAGGTAATAGCTAAGGGCTTGGGACCACCCACATGAGTTTTCAAAAGAGTGGGAGGATATGTCAAGTGGAATGTGATTTTAGGGTTTTGAGTGTGTGTGAGTTTGTGATGAACTTGAGTGTGTGTGAGGTTGTGACCAAGACCAAGTCACCCTGGGTTTTCCGAAGGCCTGATTGAACCTATAGAAACTCACTCCCGAGTCTCCACATGTTGATCTTGACCATCCCAAATAATATTTCGGGCCTTGTGACCACCCAGGCTAGACTTCACAAGAGGAGTAAAGAAGTGTTTGGAATTTTTATGTAGGAGGGCTTCATTTACTTAGTCTATTAGGATAGTCAACAGGAAAGTCATATGGTTAGATCCTAGGCTTCTAAAGAAGAAATTGGATCTCATCAAAAAATGAGTTCAACACCGCAGAAGCTGAAAAATTATCTGAGAAGGTAGAACCATGAGCATACCATCAACAGGGGAACCGTCATAGCTAGAGCTCTTGCTAGAGTCATCATTAACCTCTCCCCTTGTTTGAAAGCCGGACCAACTATCTTTTATTTCACTATCATCTCGTGCCCTCTCTTGCTCTATTTACGTTTTTGACAGAATATGCCTCGTTGTTGTTCCTTGTCTGAATGTTTGTGTCCCAACTAGTAAGATCCATCAAGTTGAATTATGGAGAGCAAGGGGGCTATCAAATTTATGATACAGTAAGAGGATGTTGGAACACAAATGAGCTCAAAAGATGTCACATCTCCCTATTCATAAGAGTTAGAATCCAAAATTTAAGAAAGTGTCCACATCAGAAGCATTAATTAAATATTATGACTAATTATTACATTTATTTACCTCATTTGTATCACAACATAGATTCCTGAGAGATGATAAAATTGAGAAACTAAATGTGTACAACTCGAAGTAGCTACTCAGATTGGCTAGGCACGAATAGATTTTGGCTTTTTTCGCCCCAATGCTGACCCACGGAAGGATGAGTTCAGAAGTATACGAAGAAGAGAACAATTAAGAGTTTTAGATGTTCGGGCAAAGGTCAAATAAATACTAAAGGCTGAGTAGTGAAAAACAAATATTGAAGGCCAAGTAACGAAAGCCCAGAACGCAAGGTCAAGTTCGAAGAATCATCAAGGTAGAGAATCATAACCACTTGTCGATCATCACTTGACCTTAAAGAAAAAAATCGGAGCGTGATCTTAACTTTTATGATGAAATAACAAAAATTAAAAAAAAAAGCCTATGCATCCATGAAGTTCTAGGCATAGTAAATGCATATTTTTGTCTTCTTAGAGAAATTCTCTTCCATAAAAAGGGTATTAAATATAAAATAGGTTTCAACCATTTAGATTAAAGAATATCTTATTATTAAAATCTTTCTCAATTTTTTCCCTCACTCTATCTCTAATTTTTTGGCGTGATTTAAGGAAAAAAAGGGATTCAATATAAATATTTGTTTGATACTAAAGAAACTAAGAATTTTTAGTTAATGAAGTGCACCCATAATAATACATTAATCAAACTACCAAAATCAAACTGCATGATGACCTACACTATTGAAACACAATAGATAACAATATTGTTAAAAAAGAAAAAATATATCCATTTAATAAGGTTAGAGGTGTAAACGAGCCGAGGAGAGTTCGAACCACTCTAGGCTTGAGTTTGAGATTGAACCAAATTAATTAATCTAGTTCGAGTTTAACTATAGGAGTTAGTGACAGCTCATGAGCTAGCTTGTTTAGTATGAAATAAAGAAAAAAATATTAATTTAAACAAGTATTATAATGAAACGTCGAAGAGGTTGAACATTTAGGAGACAACTAATATGAATTAAACTGATATAAAATATAAAATATAAAATATAAAATATTATTCTTTAAATATTTCAAATAATTTTAAAAAGTCTTGAAATTAAATATATTTTATGTTTATTTTTATTAATTATTTTTTAAACGAGCCATATCGTGGGCTAACGAGTCGAGTCGGGATTGAGCTTGACTCATTAGCTCATCAAGCACATTTCACCAACCACTCATCAAGCCAAGCCACATTTACACCCCTTCACATTGATCCAAGATTATACTTTGCCTAGTTTATTTCAGGTATAGCCTATAGGGGTTGTTTGGTAGCAGTTTTAAGCGTAGGGGTTATGCAGGATTTAAGCTAGATTTTGCAAAGTGGCAAAAATGCCTCCATAAATCCCAAAATGACGATGATTCATGATAAATCCAAGATTTATTAAATTCTATGAGTAGTTGGATTTAGTAAATCAGGAATGAGTGAAGAGGAAGATTGACACGAACAGACTTACCTTCTTCAATAGTTACTGGTGGGAGTGGAGTAGAAGGATGAGAAAGATGGGAGTTTCAGTGGTTTCTTTAAGCCATGATCTAATCGTTGCCTTCCCAACTAGCTCTAATAGCGACTGTAATGCAAAGTTTCATTCATTTAGGCCATGGTTTTGGGAGAAACTATGATGGGGAGTACAAGTGAGGGATTTGGGTAAAGATGAGAAGTTTGGGCGAAACCGAGAGAGAGGGGAGGATGTAGACAAAAGTTTTGATAGAGGGGATAATGGAGATAGGTTTGTGGGTTTAGTTTATTTTATTTGAGTTAATTTTATTCATTTAATTGATTAACAATTAACAATTAATTTATGTATTATTAAAGTAATTATACTTAGATAACTTTTTATGTAATTATTTAATAGTTAATTAAAGAATAAAAGTATATTTTAAATTTTAAATTATTTAACAAAATTCTAAGAATTATTAATTTAAATAATTAATAATTGATTAATGATAAATTATTGATTTGTAAGTAATTAGTTTTAAAAATTATTAAGTATTAAGATGCTGAAATATGGGAAGTTTAAGTCTTCCTGTAATTCAAATGTTAAGCGTAGGTTACTTAAATTTAACATTGAATTACCTAGAAATTCTAAAGATAATGTTATTTTAGTTCATTGGACTATTCCTGTTGGTGGGTATATTAAGATCAATACGGATGGTAGTTGGACTTTTTCTGCTGCAGGTATTGGTGGTATTTGTAGAGACTCTTCTGGTAAGGCTAGTATGTGGTTTTCTGCTCCTGTTCTAGCTACAAATGTTATTGAAGCTGAAACAGAGGTTGTGATTATGGGGCTAGAAGTGGTCGTAAAATGTGGTTGGAATTATTTAGAAATTGAAAGGGATTCTTTTGACCTATGGTCTTTTTGTTGCAGGAATAAAGACTATCCTTGGAATCTTATGATTCATTTCGAAAGAATCATTGCTCTGACTATTGTATTCAGGTTCGTTGGCTTTTCATTCATCAGGAAGGGAATAAGTGCGCAGATTGGGCTGTTAAGCAAGGGATGAAGACTCAAAAAGCTATTTTTTCAGATAAGTTCCCTGAAATTCTTAATTGTTTTATTAGGGGTGATTTGATGGATTCCCCATATATTTGTATATCTTTGTGATTGTGTTTTTGGATGAGTTTGGGTGTGGTGTGAGATGCAATTTTTCTTTTTTGGAATTGGAACCCTTTTTCTTTTTTGTGTGAGTTGTATAGAATTTAGGTGGGGTTCCTTTTCCTTGGTGAATTGTAATTTTTTCTTTAGTTAATAAAATAGAGTCTTAGTGCTCTTTATTAAAAAAAAAAACTAATTATTAATTAATGTAAATACTCCTTTTTTATATACTTCAACGTTATAGATATTCATTTATATTTTTATATTTAGTTTTTATTTTAGATGTATAATAAATCTTAATAAATTTTATTAAAATCTTCAAAAACTTACAAACAATTTTTCAAATGTATCAGAATTTATTCATTAACCTACCAAAGAATATTCAGAATTTAATCAAATTAAACTGATAAATCTGAATTGACAGGATTTAGGATTTACTGAATCCTATTTAGCCCAAAGTTTACTTGCAACCAAACAGCCCCTTAGTCAACTGGCGGCATTAATCGGGGAGCGGGCCATTCCAGACATCGTCGACTGTACTCGTACTATTGGGCTTCCCCGCGGTCCGGCCTCACTCCATTCAGATAAGAGAGGATTTCATTTCCAATTTAGGCCAGAGGTAAAAAAAAGAGCAGGGCGGGAGCCAGAGAGGAGAATTTCTATAATGGGAACCATTTCTTGCCCAGTCTCTTTGTGTTCTCCGTCGAAGTTTTTGAAAGGAGGATTTCGCTCCCGTTCTTCCTTGAGGATGCTTGATGTGCGTTGCACCGTCGGAGGTATTCCTCTCTGCATTGGATCCGTTTTTTTTCAATTTGAACATTTCGAAGTTATAAGTCGTATGAATTTTCTCTGCCCATTTTTTGCCTTAGGGTTCTGGGGAAAGAATGTAACGGCGGGGATTGCCCCGATACAACTTTATTCCAGGATTACGTTAATATGATAACGTAGCTAGAGATGTTTAAGTTCGATTCCTATTCTCTCCTTTTTCCTTCTCAATATACATGTTTAAAAGATGTCTATGCTGGCTTAGTTTGGCAAAGAGTTTTGTGTTAGGTTCTCACATACAAGGCCGAATGAGCTGCATTCTAGGGATAAATTTGGGCTTGGGCAACCATTTGTGCTAGAAAATAAAATCGGTTGGGCGTAAGTAAGAATATTAAGGTATGTAAAACAATAGATGGTAGATTATGATACATAGTTACACTTAAGACAAGGTAATTAAAAATAGGTGTTTTGAAGCAAATGATGGTAGAAACAAAAAAAACATGCACGACATTATGCTGTGGAAGATTTAAAATAAAGAAGGGGTAGACCCCAAGCCAAGGTGAGAAAAATTTATGCAAAATATAATTAAGACCTCATACACAACGCTCAATAAAAGTGAATGAAGAATGATGATTCATAAATCCAATCCTTGTAGTTGTGATTATGCTAATGATGATGGCGTTGTATTCAAGCTTCTTTCTTTTTATACACAGTGCAATTTTATTAAAGTTTGATATTAATGCTTTTACGCAGAGGCTGTGGTAGAATCGAATGTTTCCACTGCTATTGAACCCCTTCTGATAAATGCCATTCGAGGAGAAAAAGTTGAACGACCTCCTGTCTGGCTAATGAGGCAAGCAGGGAGGTACATGAAGGCATGTTCAATGATAATTTCTTTCAAGTTCAATGGTCTATTTCATATATTTCAAACAATATAATATATATATATATATATACATACATCTCATCATTTTTTTGTGTCTCAACATATTTTTGTCTTTTTTTTTTTGTAAATTTTGAAAGAACTTCTGTGTCAATTTTCTGAGATAGTAATTGAAGTTTGCCACACCACACCAATAAAAAATTGCGTGTATGAGACACCAAAACTCATCGAATTTAGCGTACTGTGCCAATAAAGGTGCTTAGTAAATTTGTGTGGGGAGTTTTGTGTGCGAGATGAATTAAATCTTTTCGAAAGTGTGTTTACAATTGCTTAAAATTACATAAGTATCTTGCACACAAGTGGCTTGGACATAGTCTTCCTCTTGTTTCTTTACCATCATTGTGAGATTTTCATGAGTGAGTGAAACAAAGGGAGATAATGAGCTAGGAGGAAAAAAAATGAGTGGGAAGGTTGGATAGAGGTGAACTTATGCGGGTGGTGAGAGAAGAAAATCATAGGATGGAGATTGAAGCATTTAAGGCAAGATTTTAATTTTAATTTTTTCTACTATGATTATGGAGATAGTAGACAACCATTTTAAGGTACCGATGAATTCTTACTTTTATTAGGTGAATAAGATGGATAATTCCACATGTGGTCATCGCTTCATTAAAAAAGAAAATTTGAGCCAAATGACTCATATTTTTGTCTAAGAAGTTGCTTCTTTGGGATACATTTTAAAAAACAGATAGGGGCCTCTTTACTTTTAAGCGAGGTTAGGATAATGGTTGGGGGTGGCATTTGCTGTCCCTACACATAAAAAATATGTATTTGTGTGTGTATGTGTGTGTATTTTTTTATATTTAATAAAATTTTTAATATTCCTTTTTTTTGTTTTAAGCCCATTATCTTTTAAAGTTTGTGTATAATAATAAATATTTTTATATACAATTATTTTATTATTTATAAATATATATTTGGAATATATGGTTCATGTTTGCATTCCCTCCTTAATTTCCATCTCCCTCACCTTTGCATGTTTGTGCAGACCATTTCCTTACGTCACAGTTCAACCAGCAAGGGCCCCATCTAGACCTTTTCTGCATTCTGGATGAACCATAACTGTCCATTCAATGAATTTTGTGTCATATAAGGATTCTTTTAAATAAAGTGGGCATTCTAAGTTGATTTTTCGCTAAATTGCAGTCGTCTTTTGCCATTGTCAGCACATTTCATTAGGTGATTTTTGGGTCACTTATGAAAATCATCAGATACGTTATAAACGACAATAATTTATTTTCCTACTGGTAGGAATTAAGCTATGTTGGTCATGAATTCGAACTATACCTCCACATTAATTTTTTTTTTTTTTTTGTAATTTTGAGTAGCTCGACATCAGTCAATGGGGCCTAATATGGTGCTTGAAAATGTTGACGAGCTTTTAGGCGGTCCTTAGCTCTTATATGGTTAGATCATTTAGGCCAACACTTATTAAAGCTAGCCCATCAAATATTTGGAGGGGTTGTTTCATAGGTTTGTGGGCTAGTTCAACTCAAGTAATGTCTCTAATGATAAAATTCTAATTGTGGTTAATTTTGTTTCATAAATTGGTTTTTCTTACAGTACAAGTTAAACATTTTCTTTCTCACTTATGCTTGGGCACTCTTCAGGAGTATTGTCGTTCAAAACTAATGTTGTAGTTTTTTTTGGCTATTCAACACTTTAATGCTTGGCAGAGCTACCAAATGATATGTGAAAAGTACCCTTCATTTCGTGAGAGATCAGAAAATGTTGATCTTGTTGTTGAAATTTCTTTACAGCCATGGAAGGTTTTCAAGCCTGACGGGGTATGTATGTTTTTTTTTTTCAAAGCATCTTGTTCTGCAGTTTTATTTTCTCTCTCCTAAATCTTTTTCATAACTTAACTGATACCTGAACATCTCTGCCCTTTTACAACCACGTGGATAATGGCTGAGCACAAAAATATTATAAATTCATTACTTTATGCAGCCTCACATGTTGAGAATACTTCCATAAGCAAACTCATCCTGCTTTCCTCTGAAGTTTAATTGCCTCAATTATTTAAATGGTTATCAGACAGTCGCATTGGAAATAAGTTTTTTACTGTCTATGGCTATCTTTTCATTTAAAATTGCATTTAAGATGATGATTTCTCCATGGGTAGACTTGTTGTTTTACTGATTATCATGCCCACTTTTGATGACATTTTGCGGCAGAGCATTTTAAATTTATAGTTAGAATTTATGGTTTATGGTGTGAGTGACTTGGTATCATTTTTCAACCACCAACGCCACACTGCTTGTCTTATGAACGCTTAACTAGCTTGAGGATTTGATCAATGCAGTTCATGGATATCTCAGCCCCTATGCGAGTGAACATGTAGCATCCCGTTATTCGTGATCTTTCACACCTCTCACTTCTGCAAGAAGAGGCATAATGAATTCTTTTTGGGGAGTATGGTGCTTGAACTTGCCAATACCTAGGGATGAGTTGGTTGTACTTAACAAATTGAAACCGTAAGAGCAGCACTAACATCCCTCTAGTAGTCACGCTATGAAATATATGTAGAAACTAATTTATTGGGAAGGTAAAATTTTACCATGAGAATTGAGGGAGATTGCATAGGTTGCAGAAAATGATACATGTATTTGATTGTGAATTTGTGATTTTGCTCATCAATCTTACATTTATGCCCCAAGCTTGTATTTATGATTTCTCTTTTACGCAAGATTTTAAATTATAGTAAACTCACCATTTACAATCCTTGAATTTGTAATTCTTTTGGCAGGAAGCCACTGGAACCAATCTAGGGTTATTAGATAGTGTCTAAGGATTGGTAAAAGGGTTAGGGTTGTTTGTAATTTATTAAAGAAGGGACAAACATGAGATTCAACAAGGGTTTGGAGGGAAAAATAGGCTACAACTGCTCTTCTAGAGAAAGGAACAGCAGATGAGAGGCATTGGAGGCAACGGAGGAAAAGTCCGGCCATTGAGGAAGTTCCACCACTTGTCATCGATCAAGATACAACTATATCACTTGAGGTAGAATAGGGTACAACACCTCAAAAGGAGGAAAATTAAAGAGGAGTCTCAAATAACATGAACTAAACTGAAAAAATCAAAATCAGGTTTTAAATATTGTAGTTATACTAGTGAAACAAAGAACAACTATGATAATAGCCTAAGTAGGTAAATAAAGACCATAAAGGGTCAATTCTGCACTTAGGGAATGAAAATTTTGAATTGGTCTTACCGGTCACCATTCTTACGTCCTGTATGCAAACGTCCATGTCATTCTCCTCGGGTAAGAGGGGCTTCATCTTCGTCATTGGAAGCCTTTGGATTCTCATACGGTGACAATTCTGTGATGTTGAACGTAGTAGAAATATTATAGTCATTCGATAGATTAATCTTGTATGCATCGTCTTTGATTCTCTTAACAGCCCTGAGAGGTCATCAGCTCTAGTTTGAGCTTACCAAATGTCCTGGTTGAAAATCTCTCATTCTATAATCTGATCCACACTAAGTCACTTTATTTGAAAACCATATTATTCATAGGCGTGTTAGGCTGTTTTTGATAGTTGATATTCTGCTTTCTACTCTCACATGCTCATTCAACATCTAAATTTTTTTGACTATAGCATTTGGATTAGTGTGAAATCCCTTAAGTAGAATGAAGTTGAACTCTTAAAAATTGAATCGCCTTTTGGTGTAACGATTGAAATTTTATCAGGAACTCCAAAGTTAAATGTGCTCATGCGGGAGCACTCTTATGATGTGTGGCCTCTTGGAAGTTACACTAATTGGACAAAACCGTGATGTCATTAGGTCAAGGCAGACAATATTTATATGAGTGAGATTTTGGGCTTTTACAAATGGTATTAGAGGATTACATCAGCCTGAAAATGAGAATTAAGTGTCATACAAAATAAAGTTTTACATCATAGGAGCCACCTCTTGAATCCTAGATGGGACAAAGTGCTACATGTTGGGAGTAACTTCTTGAATCTGCAGGGTCCATCTCCAGAATCCTATGTCTGGTGGATGGTTCTGGATTCAGAGCACAGACGAGGAAATCAATTACTTAAATGGCGAAGATTGTTAAACCCCTTAAGTAGAATGAAGCAACACTCTTAAAAATCAAGACACCTTTTGGTGTAACGATTGGAGTTTCATCAGAAACTTTGAAGTTAAGTGTACTTGTGGGGGAGCACTCCTAGGATGAGTGACCTCTTAGGAAGTCACATCAATTGGACAAAACTTTGAGGGCCTTAGGCCAAAGCAGACAATCTTTAGATGAGTGAGAGTTTGGGCTATTACAATCAGTGCCAAGGTCAGCAACTAGTAGTAAATGTATTAAACTTAAACAATGAGAGAAATTTGTCTTTATACAGTCTCAAAGGAGCCGTGGCTTGTGGATTGACTGCCTTATATAACTCAACTTGAGAGAGAATCATATTTCACTATCTGATATTCATACCCATAAAACACATGAGGTTATCTAAACTATGATTCACCAGCTCAGTTGTTTAACCCTTTAAGTGTATGTTGCTGAGCTGAATTGGAGTTTTGTACTTAGCTTGCTCTATAATGTCCTCCAAAAATAAATAAGTGATTTTATGTTTCTATGAGTTGATTGTCTTGGGCGCAATATGATGACAGACTATCTCTTTAATATTTTACTTTGCAATGTGTGAAGTGTCTATCTTCTTGTAATAGGGAATGGAATGCTCCATGTTTGAGAAGTAGTTCACTATCCACATAATATAATCATTGCTCCGTTGCGTTTGTGGGAGGTTCACATGTGACAACCCGATTCAGGAGCTTGAAATTACCAAGGTGGGAAGTGTCGCCGGGCGGAGGAAAATTATTTAATAGTTTCAAAAAGCCAAACCATAAAAGAGCAATTCTATTTCATAAAATTTAAAGTTACAACCAATTCATACATATATTTAAATATTTACAAATGACAAAGGAAAACCTATCATATAATATCTATCATTACGTTCCACGACGTCTGTATTCGTGCTCTCTAACATCTATCTAAACTATAACTGATTTTTTTATAAAATGTTAGCAACTAAAGTTTGAGTTAAAGCAAATCAGCGGGCTAATGTTTCTAAATGACAATAATTCTCATTTTAAAATATTTTACAAAAATGCGGTAAAAATTAAAAGACTGTGCGGTAAAAAAGAACAATAAAGAAATCAATTTCATTTACTTTCATTAATTTATGTTATACTTTTCATTATTGGGAGTCACCATTGAAAATATACTTTATAAAAATATACGTTAAATCTTTTTTAACCCAACATAAATGTAGGAAACCATTTTCATTTATATTTTCATTTTTGTGTACTGGTGCATTGCATTCCCCACCCATTGCCATCAAGGGGTGACTCTCATATGAATGCATATATCATTTTTAATTCTTTTTCTTGTATTTAACATCTAGAAGAATAATATTGATTTTTTACATTTAAAAATGACCACTGAAAAATAGTAAAAGCATGAGTAATTAGTAGAACTATTGTAAAATAAAAATATTTACCCACCTCTATAATTTTGTTCACTATCCTTTTTATCGGATAAAACTAGTCTTTTGGTGCAACTATAATTAAAATTTAAATAATTTTACTTATATCTTATATTAAGATATCATTATTTCGTCAATGAACTTTCATAACTTTATTTTAGAGGGCATTTTTATTTTTTCATTTGGTATGTTTCATTTAAGAGTAACTTTATTATGCCTTAAACTTAGGTTTTAGTGTTCTTAAAGTTTAAATTTAGCTTAACACTAATTGATTAGGAAAATAACATTTAATTTTATAATTAGTTTTCATACTTGAATTTCTTTCCCACAGCAAAACCCTCTTTTCCTGATGTAGCCTTTTCACCAATTACCTTAAACAATTGTTAACAAACATTGCAATCAATTTAATATAATAAGTTTTTGAAATTTCATTTTAATTAATTACAATTAATAACTTAAATAATTTAGTTTAATTTATAATTTTTTTTTTTAATAATGTGTTGCCTTGCCATAGAAAATTCAAACGAAGCAGCAGAGGCTCGGTTGAACTCTTCACCCTACGCACGCAGGATCCCGCGAGCCTCCCTTACTCTTCAATCACTCGAAACCAGCAACATGAGCATGCCTTACTCTTTGGCTCAGCACACACCCTTCCTGTATGGCTCAGTCGCGGAAGGCTTCGCATGGCTGAAGAATTGTCAATGGCACGAAAAGGAGAGCTCAGATGAGCAGTTCGAGCCTTCCAGGTACCCAATCAAGCTTCCCTTTCTTCTTCCTTCTTTTCTTTGTTGCTCACGACACTCGACAGAGCCGCTCGAGCTCTTCCTCGCTTTGGTTCAATCATGAAAATGTAAGGAAACGATCACAGGTGAGCCGCTTGTCTCTTCCTCCCTTCTTTTTCTTCCTCTGTTTCTCACACTTCCTAGATTTTCCTCGCTCTCTTGATCTTTCCCGCTCTCTCTGTCTCTCTCGACTCCTATATAGAGTTTGAATAAGGGGAAAAGAGAGGATAGCCTTGACTTATTCTCCCCGGGGCGGTGGGTGAAACAATCAAACAATGCCTGTGAAACAACTTTTGTTTATTAAGTGTCGTAACAAATAAATAAATTCATTTTCATTTTTTTTAAGATTAATTAAGATTTTTAATTGGTTATTATTAAAATCTTCTAAAAATTTCATCATTGAAATTTAAAATACAAGAATATAGTTCATACCTTAATTGAACAGGTGTGAATATATTTCTCTCATGTCTGATTCCTTCTCCCATGTGGATTCTTTTTCAGTCCCGT